TGATAATGAAACTTGGTAGCGGTTCAATCAATTTTGTCGATTTTTCAGTTACTGTATAATCCAATAATGCCTGCCCCATTTATCATCAATATATTTCATTGCCTATTGAGAAATCATTTGGCCCTATGATCTTAATGTTTTGGGGAAGTGACACAGTTACCCACAGAAACAAAACTATTTACTCTTATTTATCTATTTGTTTTTCTACCCATCAAACTAATTATATTTCCTACCCATAGTAGTTTTTGTGGGAAATTTTCTATTTTTTCTCCAATTCTTTTTTATTTCTATGCTTCTTTTCTTTTTTCCTTTCTTTCTTTCTTTTTTCATTTTTTTTCCTTTTCTTCTTATTTTTTTTTCTTTTTTCTCTTTTTCTATTCATTTATTTTTTACCAATTCGTGTTGTTGTTATTTTTAACATAACTTATTTCACACTTAATTTTTGACTCCTTTTTACTTTATTTTTTTATTTATTTATTCCTTGTTCCTTTTCTAATTCCATTTAACTCCTTTTTTCTTTTATTTTCTTTATTTCTTATTCCTTTTCTAATTTTATTTAACTTCTTTTTTTATATTCGTTTTCTCATCATAATCTAATTTCATTTACTATTTTCACTATTTTTTATTATTCTTGTTTTTATACAATAAGAAAAATAACTGATATAGTAAATATTTGTTCATCTTTTTTTTAAATATAACTAGTATAATATGCCTTTTACCTTTTTTCTCATTTTTTTTGATTCAATTCTTAAACTGAAATAATATCAGTTGTCACTTGATCTAATTCACTGAACATCACATTGATTGCTTCTGAGCACCATAAATTACATAATCAGATTCTAAGAATCAACATGTGATTGTCGTGCAAACCTTGATCTTCTCCCTACAAATATCAGTACACAATCTACCATTAGCAGTAACACAACCAGTTGGAGCAAGAAAACATAATCTACGGCCACCAAATCTCCATATATACTAGTTAGAATAGAAATTATAATAAAATATTGGAAAATGAAATAAAAGTATAAGTAGCAAAAAAGACTTGTAGTACCATATGATACCAATATGGTATACATGTATACCAACAGAGCATATGATTGCTCTAGAATATTGCTACAACTATCTACGACTATACTACTGTACCAAAACATTAAAAGATGCAATAAAAGTATGAGAAAATTACAATTGTAAGCTAAATATTCGCAAAGCAACTTGCTTATTCCGTATACTAACAGGGTATATAGTTGTATGAGGTCGTTCCAACAATTGCCTATAACTATAAAAATTATTACATAATACACATAATCTATGTCCGTCGGCACAAAAAAAATTCCAACACTGCAAATTATGTTCATATAAATAATATCAGAATATAATTCACTTAAAAATGCAGCTAAAACAACCAAAAAAAAAGTTCAAACTACATATGATACCAATATGGCATATAACTATACCAACATGGTATACAATTTTACTGGTTAATTTCCGGCTACTATATGACAATACTACTATTACATAACACACATGCATAAAGAGAAAAATAAAAAAATAGAGGTACCACATATTAATATAATAAATTATTTCAAGATATTGTACTGTATTACTATTATTAAAAGAAAATAAAGTGTACCAATTAAATGCAGCTAATACAATAAAAAAAAAAATGATTCAACTAGCATATGATACCAATATAGTATATAGCTATACTAATAGAGTATATAGTTGTACGGGGTCGTTCTAACAACTGCATATAACTAAAAAAAACTATCACATAATACACAAAATCTATGTCCATAGGTAGGGGTGGGCATATTTCAGTTTGAACCGAAAAAACCGACCGAACCGAATTTTTTTTTATTTCGGTTTCGGTTATTCGATTTTTTTGGTTGTTTTTTTTTTTAAAAATTCAAAATTCAGTTTTTCGGTTCGGTTGTTGGTTATTGATATTTTTATTTCGGTTAACCGAAAAACCGAAATATTTGTACATGTACTATTTAAACAATATATAGACTATAGTTAATTAGTTATTAGGCTAAGGCCCAAACCCCAAACCCAATTGCCCAAAATTATATCCAAAATCGGCAGCCTTTGCCCTTAAGCCCTTAACCCATTCTTAATTAATCCAAAATACCTTAGGTCTTCTACTCTTCTGACTTCTCCCTCTCGCAGTCGCAGTCTCGCTCTCAGTCTTCTCCCTCTCGGCTCTCGCTCTCAGTCTCTCTATCGGCGGCAACTAAGCTTCATCTGGAACGGGTCCATTGTAACTACTAGTAGTGTTGGACTAAAATACTATGTTCTGTATGGTGGAACTGTAAACTGTTTGGGGACACTGGAATTGGTATTTGGTATGAATTCACTTAAAAGCAGTGAACTCAGCTTCATTAATGTTAATTGGTGTTTGGTACCAATTTGAGGTTAATTGATATTTGGTACCAATTTGATTAATTGGTTGTAAGTTGTAACGTTCAGTTGACTGTTTTGGTGTTTTGTGGTCTTTGCCTCTTTAGTCTTTGGTTACCACTGGTTTTGTGGTTCATCACTTCATTGGACTTGCAATGAATTCAAATAGGAATGAGATTCCAATCAAAATCTTGCAATGAATTCCAATCATTGCCTAATATACTAATGTAAAATTGGGCCTAGTGTAGTAGTTTATATATGGGCTTAGCCTATATAGTATATATAGTTTATGACTATGTAAATAAAAGAATAGATTTATGACTTATCACATTCAAAAAGCCTAAAATTTTGGAAAAAACCAACAAACTAGTCCAATTTTTACCTAGAACAAGCCCAGCCCAATATGATAATGTTCAAACCGAAAACCGACCCAAAATAAACCGAACCGAAATTCCAAAACCGAACTAAACCGAACTTATTTCAGTTCGGTTTCGGTTACTATATTTACAAAACCGAAAACCGAATAACCGAACCGAATTTCATCAAACCGAACCGAACGCCCACCCCTATCCATAGGTACAAGAAAATCCAACACAGCAAAACATGATCATATAAATCATTTCAGAATAGATTTCACTTAAAAATGCAGCTAAAATAACCAAAAAATATTCCAACTACCATACGATACCAATAAGGTATACAATTCTACTAATTAATGCCAGGCAACTATACTGCTACTATTACATAATACACATGCATAAAGAGAAAAATAAAAAAAATAGTATACCATATAGTAATATAATAATATATTTCAAGATACTGTACTATAATACTATTATATAAACCAAACGCATAAAGAAAAAATCAAAACGATTACATAATACACATGCGGAAAGTTAAAATTCAAGATACTGACTATTGTACTATTACTAAAGAAAAATCAAATAGTGTACCAATTAAATGTAGCTAATACAACCAAAAAAAGTTCCAACTAACATATGATACCAGTATAGTATATAGCTATACCAACAGGGTATACAATGTTTTCATTTAATAAGTATACTATTGTGCACACGATAAACATTCTCTCTCTAACATTCTCTCTCGGCGCACGTTAACGTGGCCTAGCTAACGTGCGCTTGGAAGCCATGGGAGGGAGAGGCAGATCTAATAAGAATCAAACGAAGACTCAAATCAGTGACCAGCGAACAACTGAAACTAGGAATGCTGTTTTGGAATTGTTTGTATCCCCAAAAGGGATAAGGATTGAAGAACCATCTGGAAATTCCACGCCGAGGATCATGCAGAGTGAGCTGAGCACGGCGGAAGCAAACCTAACTCGGAATAAAGGCAAGTCGAAGGAAGCAGAAGTCACGCCTGTAGCTATACAAGCTGTAGGTGGCGGATCTGAAAACGGAAAAGTTCAATCTCACGGGCAGAAGCTGATTAACAATGGAACAATACCATGCAGCTCAGGTACTGTAGATAGTGGGAAGATTGGGGAGAAATTGGATGGCAACAAGACTCAAACGTGGGCAAATGTGGTAGGGGGCAGCAAACTAGCAAGGAAAGGTATGAATCTGCAATTTATTGCTCCAATTATCCAAAATGGGGAGAAGATTGTACAACTTGATTTAGAAGATGTATAACAGGAAAATGAGAAATGGAGTTCCGCGATTGTGATGTATGTGATCGGAGATTCACCTACTATTGGAGCAATGGAAAGATTCCTGAGCTCAGTAGGTAAATATACAGCTAAACCACAGATTTACTATCACAATGATGATTATTTTGTGATAAGGTTTAGCAATGGGGAAGAAAGAGATCAAGTTCTGTACTCTGGGCCTCACACTGTGAACAACCGGCCAATAATCATGAAGGCATGGACTGATGACTTCAATTTACATGATGAAATACTTAAAACCATTCCCCTATGGGTCAGATTCCCAAACCTACCCCTTAATTGTTGAAGTATGAAAGGCACTAAGTAAATTAGGTAGTGCTTTGGGAAATCCTGTTTATGCTGATGAGTGTACAACTGGGACTGCTAGAATTTCGTATGCAAGGATGCTAATAGAAATGGATGTTACAAAACCTCTGCCAAGATCTGTGAAGCTACAGGACCCAAAAGGTAGGTTTATTCAACAGGAGATCACATATGACTGGGAGCCCATTTATTGTGCCAAATGCCTGAAGATTGGACATGATTGTACTGAGATCAAAGGCCCACAGCAACAGAGAATGCCTTATCAGAGGAAGACAAATAAAGTCAAACAAGTTTGGCTTAGAACTGATAGAGATGGAGCAAAGGATACTAAACAGGAGGCTGAACAGCATGGAAAGAAGCTAATTACCCAAATGTCAGAACAAGTAAAAGGAAATGAGAATCAAGGTAAGGAAGATGGGTGGGTGACAGTACTAGGGAAGTCAGCAGCAAGGGCAGCCAAAGCTAAACAAAATGAGGACCATGGTCTGATTGGGAATAATGGCTTTCAGTCTTTGGAAAATGATACAATAAATAGTGAACCTGGCACAAGTAGTATGCAGATGAGGAGTGGGGGGATGCAGGTATGGAATCAAGACACTCCATTCATACCAGTATGAGTGTGATCACATGGAATGTTAGGGGAATGAATAAAGCATATAAGCAGAATGAGATAAAGGAGTTCATAAAGGAGAATAAAAAAGCAGTAATAGCTTTAATAGAGCATAGAATAAAGGATCAGAAAATAGGAGAAATAATGGGGAGGATTGCACCTGGGTGGAATTGGGTATCACATTTTAGTAGTAACAACAAGAGCAGAATTTGGGTGATCTGGGATCCTAGGATCTATGCGTTCAACCCCTTTGAAATAGATGAACACTTAATACATGGGCAAATCAGCACAGTCTCTAAACTATTCACAATTGGTTTTACAGCTATCTGTGGACTACACACCATCAAAGACAGGCTGCATTTATGGAGCAAATTGAGGTTGATACATAGTACACAGCAGGGGCCTTGGCTAGCAATGGGAGACTACAATGCTGTGTTACATGAACAGGATAGACAATATGGATCAACAGTACAAGACATGGAGATAAAAGATTTCAAGGAGTTCCTGCAGGATACTGGTATGAATGAGCTTCAAACTGTGGGAAGAGGATATACATGGACCAACAACCATACATATAGCAGGATTGATAGAGGGTTGGTTAATGCTAGCTGGATGTTAACAATGCCAAGCTTGAGAATACAGGTGTTAGAACAATCTATGTACGACCATTCACCACTCAAGCTGATGATAACACATATACAAAGGAAGAAGAACATGCCATTTCGTTTTTTCAATTGTATAGCAGATCACCCTCACTTTATACAGTCTGTTGAACAAGTATGGAGTGAGGAAGGAACTCAAGGAATGATGCAACAGGTGTGGAACAAACTCAAAAAGGTTAAGGAGATCATGAAAGGGATAAACACTCAACATTACCAAGGTGTTGAGAATATAATAAAAAAGGCAAGGGAGGAGCTACTAGAAGTCCAAGAGGAGATGAGTAATGTGACGACCCGACCCGTCGTCTCATGTGTTATTGCTCCGTTTCCCCCATTTCATGCTTCTTCATGTTTCGTTATCGGTATGTGGTGTGTTAGAGTTGATTTGGATTGGTTTTGATAAGAAATGAGACACTTAGTCTCTTTAAGGAAAGCTTAAGTTGGAAAAGTCAACCGAATGTTGACTATTGAGTTAGAGGGCTCAGATGTGATTTCCGGTATTTCGGTTAGCTTTGAGGGATGATTTGTGACTTAGGAGTGCGATCGGATTTGATTTTGGAGGTCCAGTGTAGAATTAGGCTTGAATTGGCGAAGTTAGTATTTTGGCGAATTCCGGTTGATAGGTGAGATTTTGATCCGAGGGTCGGAATGGAATTTCGAGAGTTGCTGTAGCTTTGATATGTGATTTGTGATGTGTGTGCAAAATTTCAGGTCGTTCGGAGGTGTTTCGGTCGGGTTTTTGATCGAATGCGTAATTCGGAAGTTTTTAAGAAACTTAGGCTTGAATCCGATGTGATTTGATGGTTTTAGCGTTGTTTGAAATGTTTGAGGATTGGAACAAGTTTGAATAAGGTGTTAGGATGTGTTGGCATTTTTGGTTGAGGTCCCGGGGGCCTCGGGGTGAATTCGGGTGGTTAAACGGAAGGTTTTTGGAGTTAATTGCAGGTTCAACCTTGCTGGCATCTGTTGGTTTTGCACCTGCGGTTATGGGACCGCAGGTGCGGTCTCGCTGAAGCGATTGGAAGATGTGCAGAAGCGGAAGTCTTGGCCCTTGCCAGATTCCGCAGGAGCGGAAGGAGGACCGCATAGGCGGCCTCGCAGAAGCGAGCTAGACCTCGCAGGAGCAGAATTTGGAACCCTGGTCAGGTTCCGCAGAAGCGGAGCATTGGATCGCTTAAGCGGTCCCGCAGATGCGATTGGGGACCGCAGAAGCGGAAGGTTGCCTTAAGTGAAAGGTCCGCAAAAGCGGACGTTGACCGCATAAGCGGAAGCCGCAAAAGCAGTACTGGATCCGCAGAAGCGAAATGCCTGGCAGTTAAGTGAAATTAATCATCTTCGCGAATTTTTGAAAGAACAACATTTTGGACTTCGGACTAAGGAGATTTTGGGCGATTTTTGAAGAGGGTTTCGAGGGCTATCATCAGGTATGGATTCTTGGGCTTAGATTATGTTATTATTGTGTATAAACATGGATTTAGACTGAATAATCAAGGAATCAAAGGTCAAAAATGGTGGTTTAGGGCTTGAACTTAAAAGAGTTTAAATAGGGATTTGAGGGGTCAATTGGACTCCGATTTTGGTAAATTTGTTATGTACGGACTCGTGGCGAGACGAGGAATCCGTTGATGTGAATTCCGTAATTTTTCGAGAAGTGGACCGGGGTCTCGGGGTTTTTGCCGAACTTCGTGATTTTTTATGATTTTTCGAGTCTTTTCGATTGGGTTATGATTCCATTAGCCTATTGTGACGTATCCTTGTGTTTTGGTTAGAGTTTCAACGTCGCGTGAGGTCGGTTTGAGGGGTTAAAAGGCAAGTAGCGAGCTAGAGATTTCACCGGTTCGAGGTGAGTATGATTTTGAATGTACGCCGTGACGGGTTTTGAAACCCCGGATTTGCACAACTTGGTGCTATGTTGAGATGAGACACGCGTTCCATGACGAGCGCGGGGTCATTTACTATTGGGGACTGTGACTTGGTCCAGTCCGGATGATATTTTACCGCGTATTAGCAATGACTTGTTGTTTTCACTATGATTTGGGCTTATTGCCATATTTGGGGCTTATTGCCGACTGTTTGAACTCTTTATGAACTATCATCACTGTTTTCCTCACTGTTTGAAATATTATTTGAACTCAGTCCATGTGATTTACACTGTTTTCTTGAACTCAGCCATATTTACTCAAACTTGGAGTTTTAAACTGATATTTGAACTATTGTTTGAGCTGAGTATTATTGCTTTACTGTTGCCCGAGGGGCTGTTGACTATTTCTGGACTGATTGAGGCCGAGGGCCTTATGTGAGGGCATGATGAGTGAGGTGAGGAGGCTTTCAGGCCTCGTATTGATAATGTTCAGGCTTTCAGGCCTTGTTGATAGCACTTGGGCTGTAGGAGCCCCTCCGGAGTCTGCACACCCACAGTGAGCGCGAGTACCCATTTAGAATTGGACAGTGGTAACAATGACACTGCCACACGTGTTTTGGTCAGGTAACAATGGCTGACCAGTGGTAACAATGGCACTGAAACACGCGTTGGGTCAGGTAACAATGGCTGACCAGTCAGGTAACAATGGCTGACAAGTGGTAACAATGGCACTGAAGCACGCGTTGGGTCAGGTAACAATGGCTGACCTGTCAGGTAACAACGACTGACCATACTTGAGCATATTTGTTTTATTAATTATTTTCAAAGAGGATTTCTTGCTATGTTTCACTGGTTCCTACTGTTTACTTGATTTTACTGTTTGAGATAGCATTATATGTGCCTGTGTGGGATTTTATATTCTCAGCCGTTATTCATTTTTATTGCTCACTGGGTTGGAGTACTCACTTTACTCCCTGAACCTCGCGTGCAGATGTAGGTATTGTTCACCCGGTAGTGGGTTTTGAGCTGGTTGAAGGTATTGCTATCGTAGCTGAGCAGAGTGACCGCCAGCATTCGCGGCACCGGATTACTTCCTTTGGTTCTAAATTTTATTCCGTATATTATTGGCCCTGTAGTTGTATTTAGACTTCTCTAGATGCTCGTGACTTGTGACACCCCGGTCGGGTTGTGTTGGGTTGTAAATGCTGGCTAGTATTGTCGTTAAGCTGTATTCATCTATTCATTTATGCTTAATAATTGTTAAAGAGACGATTTGGGTTAGTTGGCTGGCCTTGTCTTCACGAGAGGCGCCATCACGACCGGGTTGGAAATTGGGTCGTGACAAGTTGGTATCAGAGCCTAGGTTACTAGGTCTCACGAGTCATGGGCAGGTATAGTAGAGTCTCGCGGATCGGTACGGAGACGTCTGTATTTATCCTCGAGAGGCTGCAGAACCTTTAGGAAAACTTCCCATTCTTGGAATTCTTATCGTGCATACTTGATTCAGCTTGAGATATAACTCTTGAAATTCCTTCCACACGTCTGTATGCGCACGTGAGCGCTCAGTATTATATGTGCCTTGATGGTTTGTGATTCCCCGATCGAGGGGCGAGATGTAATCTTCGTGAGTATGTTGGGCCAGTCTGGAGGACTTGAGGCCGGATCCTTGCCTATGGCTTGAGCACCGAGGTGCTGATTGTGTGAGCAAGTATTTTGAACTTATATGTTCAGTATTGCCCCTATTAGCCGGAATGGCGGTTTGGTATTCATGTGATGAGTATGTTAGTACTGCGAGATGTAATTATATGACTTAGTAGTGACAAAAAGTCTGCTGGTCAATAGATGAACTGTTAAGTGATTCGTTTCCTATTGTGAGTTGATGTGTATCCCGAACATGGGCGCGTGAAGAATATTTTCGTATCTCCTAGTTGAAGAGTGAAGTGCATTACATGTGGCGGTAAGAATTCAGACTCAGGAAGACTAAATTGACTGTGTATCGTGTATGATGGTGGAAGGTATGCTGGAGTATTAAATTGAGGCGAAGCAGGTGGGTTATCTCCTGTGGAGTGTTCTTGAGTGGTACGATCCTTATGTGTATGTTAGTAGATCTCATGTGTAATTGAAGGGTATAAGTTGAAATCTGAGAATTTGGGTCGCTTAAGAGAGTGGACTCAACTGATGTGGGGATGAATGCGAGGTTGCAGAGGATTCCAGTGCTAGATGATCTGTGATATCACGAACTTGTGCATGATTTGAGTTTAATCTCACTATGGCACTGTGGCATCATTAGAGTAAAAGTATTATGAGTTGTTGAGTGTGTCCTGATATATGGCTTCGAGCCAAGTTGGGGAGGTTGCTGTTGATTAGCTGATTGCACGGTTATGTGCTATGTCGGTTCCGTTTTGAGGTATGCTGGCGGATCAGTTCAGGTTGCAGAAATTGAGCCGAGGATGGCACGAGTGAATCAAAATTTTGACAAAGGTTATATTGTGTTCCATAGGGTATGAGAATCACGGAATGTCTAGAGTTGTTGTTGGTAAAGAATGCTCGGTGCATAGAGCAGGAAGTTGCTTGGATGTATTGGGATGAGGGTCTCATTTTACGGTATCGGAGTGTCAATAAAGCACGAGTGGTTCTGTTCGTTAAATCAGGTAATTTGCAGATGAATAAAAGAGAATGACTCTCGAGAAGGGTTTTAATGTGTTCAAGAATCTACATGTAGCACTCAGGTGTTTTAAGGTGGTGTATGTGACTAAAGACAGTGTTTTCAATAGAAAATGTCAAGACTTGTGGTACTTTTATGTTGATCATGGGATCCTATATGTCGATACCTGGAAAGTAAAGGAAGCGAATTTAGATTCGCAGAAAGTTCTCAGAGTGAAGTATTCTGGAATGTGGTATTTTTAGGAAACAATGGAGAGAGTATTCAGTGGCCTATGGGTCTTAGACAGTGTGGTCTTATGTTCGAGTCTCGTGTGGTAAGCTTAGATTGAGGCATTGTGATGCTACAGCGAGGGAGAAATATCAAGTGGATGATGAATCAAAAAAGGAAATTAGATAGATGGAATAGCTTGATAGTAGACCGAATCGGTATGGTAAGGATGTGATTAATTCTTCGTATGTGTTCGAGGTAATGGGCTTTTACAGGTATTGTGCAGCAAGGCTCTTGAGTTCTGACAGCTTGCTTAGCTTGGTTCGGGTAGAAGGATTCAGTCCCGGCAGTTTAGCTTGTGCAATGGAATTGGGGGAGAGTTCTTGATAAGTTTTACCGTGGTTTAGAGACGTATAAATTGCCTATGGGCATGCGAAGCATGGAATGTGTAATGATAGATGGGATTGATGGAGAGTTCTTGACTAGAGGAATACATAGATGTTTGTGGTTAGGAAAAAAGGGAGATGGAGTTCTCATGTTATCCTAGTGTGTTATGGTATACGCGGTATGTTGTAGAGAATTGAGATTTGCGTGTTCGAGGTTTCGGTTCAGTTCATGATGGGAAGTCATTAAATTCTTAGCAGCACGGGCAGCTACAGGTGATTAAAGAATCGATCTTCAAATGATTAAGAAAAATGGTATTGCCAACCATAGTGATTCGACGGGGGTATATGTTCCAGTAAAAAGGGCAATGTGATGTAAACTGATAATACTTCTGTAGTGTTGCGGCATTTGAGATCGACTATTGATATCTGAGTTTGTTTGATGGCACAAGGAAACTGTAGAATACCATTCGTGGGATGATTGGGCACTTGAGGTGTGATATGTATTCGTACGGCGCAATTTGGGATCAGGTATAGTGATTTGTGTGCTATATGGAGTTGGAGACTAGGAGTTCTCGTGTTCAGGCTATGCAGTTGTTGCAAATCGTGTGTATCGGCACCGTCTAGCGGTTATTGGGAATTAGAGGTCCGAGTGGATCTTTCTTTGCTTGGTATGCCAGATTTTGGATATGATATTGGATTGTAGACTGGTTGTCTTAGTGTTGGCTTATTCTAGACTATTGTGCCAAGGGCTATGCCGGAAATGCCACGGGTTGATTGGCGAGGTGCATCGGATTATGTCTTGCAGAGTGGTATATATTTCAAAAGATGCAGCGGACGGCTGAGAAGGATTGCTTTTCTTAATAGGGCCTTCGTGATGGATGTCAGTGCAGAGGTTTCTACCATTGATTCAGTTTCATTATTGAGTGACTTTGTCGGATGCGTTTCTTGTGGCCGGGCATGTCGCCGGGCGAGATTGGGGATTCGGTATTGATTTGGTGCCGGGCACCGTATCGTAAGGCTCCGGCAGGAATTATAGTAGTGGAAGGAGCAGCTTCAGGCTTTCTTGGTAATAAGTTCGTTGGTAAGCTGTTGTGGATACGTGTCTAGCTTGAGTTGGCTTGGTTGGCCCCGATGTGTGCTGTTGAGGGATAGGTTGATTCGATCGTTATTGAGCTTGTTAGTGATCTGATGAGAGATATGGGTTGCTTTTCGGTGTCATGAGGCGTCATGATTTGTTGGATATGGGCACATGTGGTGCGGTTCTATTGAGGATTCATAGAGAAAGTCGAGCGGGAAGAGTAATTGAGTGTTGCTCGGTAAATGGAGCGTTGGCTATGACCTATCGGGTTGCGTGTCGTATGTTATCTGTTTCACCGTGGGTGTAATGAATTGCTTGGGCTCCAGACATCAATTGTGCGTGGCGGTCTATTTCGAGCATAGTGACTTGAGGTGTTTCATGTGTAGCAGTGTTTGGACAGGATCGCGCATTGTAGCGAGGCTACGTGGAGATATGACCTTTTGGGGTAGATTCAGGTACTCGATTTCTATGATGTGAGACGGGGTCTCAGCCTTGTGTTGTAATGGTGTTGATGAGCTTGAGATACAACTCTTTTGTTTGAGTCATTTGTCCTGATTTGGGTATGTTCAGACCGTTCCTCATTGGTACGTGTATTATGCAAGTTGTGGCTTAGGCCTGCATCGAGGTGTCATGTCACCAGAGTGGTGTGTTGGATTCGAGGTGATTGTTGGAGTCATTAATGAATACGGACAGATTTGATTTCAGCTTGTTAGAAGGATAATATCGAGGTTCAGCCCAGAAATCTGTTGTGGTATTAGTCAAAGGGGAAGCGGCTTCATGGATGGTTGATATGAGAAATGGTTACGATTTATAGCATGTTTCAGTTATCGCTGGCAGTATATGAAAGTGTTGAAATAAGACTTTAGCTAATAAGAGGTTTTCTATCGGTATTTGGTTATTGTGGGCAACTGCTGTGAATAGAGGCTATCGTTTCGAGTGTTTGGATTATGTGGTATATCGGATGGTCTCACCCGAGGTTGCAGGTATGGGTTATTACAGCTGGTTCGGGTTTATTCTGAATATAGACGCGAGGTCCTGACCTTGTGTATGATTTCGGGAAGTGCAATGTGGTTCTACGGTTTATGGTTTAGATGGACTGTGAAATTTCAGCTATATTGTGTTATCGGACCTATGCGAGATAGGGTGACGAGGGATCACCCCGGGTATATGCTTGGTAAGGTCATTCAGCTATTGGTTGGCTTCTAGGACAACTCTAGGTACGCTCGAGGACAAGCGTTTGTTTAAGTTGGGGAGGATGTGACGACCCGACCCGTCGTCTCATGTGTTATTGCTCCGTTTCCCCCCATTTCATGCTTTTTCATGTTTCGTTATCGGTATGTCGTGTGTTAGAGTTGATTTGAATTGGTTTTGATAAGAAATGAGACACTTAGTCTCTTTAAGGAAAGCTTAAGTTGGAAAAGTCAACCGAATGTTGACTATTGACTTAGAGGGCTCGGATGTGATTTCCGGTGTTTCGATTAGCTTCGGGGGATGATTTGTGACTTAGGAGTGCGATCGGATTTGATTTTGGAGGTCCGGTGTAGAATTAGGCTTGAATTGGCGAAGTTAGTATTTTGGCGAATTCCGGTTGATAGGTGAGATTTTGATCCGAGGGTCGGAATGGAATTCCGAGAGTTGCTTTAGCTTCGATATGTGATTTGTGATGTGTGTGCAAAATTTCAGGTCATTCGGAGGTGTTTCGGTCGGGTTTTTGATCGAATGCGTAATTCGGAAGTTTTTAAGAAACTTAGGCTTGAATCCGCTGTGATTTGATGGTTTTAGCGTTGTTTGAAGTGTTTGAGGATTGGAACAAGTTTGAATAAGGTATTAGGATGTGATGGCGTTTTTGGTTGAGGTCCCGGGGGCCTCGGGGTGAATTCGGGTGGTTAAACGGAAGGTTTTTGGAGTTAATTGCAGGTTCAACCTTGCTGGTATCTGTTGGTTTCGCACCTGCGGTTATGGGACCGCAGGTGCGGTCTCGCTGAAGCGATTGGAAGATGTGCAGAAGCGGAAGTCTTGGCCCTTGCCAGATTCCGCAGGAGCGGAAGGAGGACCGCATAGGCGGCCTCGCAGAAGCGAGCTAGACCTCGCAGGAGCGGAATTTGGAACCCTGGTCAGGTTCCGCAGAAGCGGAGCATTGGATCGCTTAAGCGGTCCCGCAGATGCGATTGGGGACCGCAGAAGCGGAAGGTTGCCTTAAGTGAAAGGTCCGCAAAAGCGGACGTTGACCGCATAAGCGGAAGCCGCAAAAGCGGTACTGGATCCGCAGAAGCGAAATGCCTGGCAGTTAAGTGAAAATAATCATCTTCGCGAATTTTTGAAAGAACAACATTTTGGACTTCGGACTAAGGATATTTTGGGTGATTTTTGAAGAGGGTTTCGAGGGCTATCATCAGGTATGGATTCTTAGGCTTAGATTATGTTATTATTGTGTATAAACATGGATTTATACTGAATAATCAAGGAATCAAAGGTCAAAAATGGTGGTTTAGGGCTTGAACTTAAGAGAGTTTAAAATAGGGATGTGAGGGCATGATGAGTGAGGTGAGGAGGCTTTCAGGCCTCGTATTGATACTGTTCAGGCTTTCAGGCCTTGTTGATAGCGCTTGGGCTGTAGGGGCCCCTCCGGAGTCTGCACACCCACAGTGAGCGCGGGTACCCATTTAGAATTGGACAGTGGTAACAATGACACTGCCACACGTGTTTTGGTCAGGTAACAATGACTGACCAGTCAGGTAACAATGGCTGACCAGTGGTAACAATGGCACTGAAACACGCGTTGGGTCAGGTAACAATGGCTGACCAGTCAGGTAACAATGGCTGACAAGTGGTAACAATGGCACTGAAGCACGCGTTGGGTCAGGTAACAATGGCTGACCTGTCAGGTAACAACGACTGACCATACTTGAGCATATTTGTTTTATTAATTGTTTTCAAAGAGGATTTCTTGCTATGTTTCACTGGTTCCTACTGTTTACTTGATTTTACTGTTTGAGATAGCATTATATGTGCCTGTGTGGGATTTTATATTCTCAGCCGTTATTCATTTTTATTGCTCACTGGGTTGGAGTACTCACTTTACTCCCTGAACCTCGCGTGCAGATGCAGGTATTGTTCACCCGGTAGTGGGTTTTGAGCTGGTTGAAGGTATTGCTATCGTAGCTGAGCAGAGTGACCGCCAGCATTCGCGGCACCGGATTACTTCCTTTGGTTCTAAATTTTATTCCGTATATTAGTGGCCCTGTAGTTGTATTTAGACTTCTCTAGATGCTCGTGACTTGTGACACCCCGGTCGGGTTGTATTGGGTTGTAAATGCTGGCTAGTATTGTCGTTAAGCTGTATTTATCTATTCATTTATGCTTAATAATTGTTAAAGAGACGATTTGGGTTAGTTGGCTGGCCTTGTCTTCACGAGAGACGCCATCACGATCGGGTTGGAAATTGGGTCGTGACAAGTTGGTATCAGAGCCTAGGTTACTAGGTCTCACGAGACAAGTAACAGATTACAACAACCTGATCTAATTGAAAAGGAGAAAGCCCTTAAAGGACAATTGGAAAAATGGTCACTGATTGAAGAAAGCATATACAAGCAAAGATCTAGAGTACAATGGCTGAAGTTGCGAGATTCCAATTCTGCATATTTCTTTGCCCACATGAAGAAAAGGAGCAACTTGAATGGAATCCAAACTCTATCTAATGAAATGGGGGTCCAACTATGGCTAGAAGTGGACATAGAGGCAGAAATAATGGGGTTTTACAAGAAGCTGTTGGGTTCTAGAGCAGACTCTATACCTGCTATTAATCCAAATGTCATGAAGATGGGAGAAATACTTAGCAGGGAACAACAATTACATCTTATTCAGCCAGTGACAAAGGAGGAAGTGTGGTTAGCATTGAAGGACATCAGTGACCTAAAAGCACCTGGATATGATGGTTTTAATGCAGTGTTCTTCAAAAAATCATGGGAAGTCATAGGAGAGGATGTGACCAAGGCTGTCTTAGAGTTTTTTGAAACATCTCAAATGTACAAGCCCATCAATTGCTCAACAATTACTTTGATACCTAAAGTAAGGAATCCTGCCACCATTAAAGAGTTCAAACCAATTTCCTGTTGCACTACTTTGTATAAAGTGATCTCTAAAATACTTACCAAGAGACTACAAAAGGTGATGGATGTATTAATTGATAAGTCTCAATCAACTTTTGTTCCTGGTAGAGTGATAAACAGATAACATTATCCTCAGCCATGAACTAGTTAAAGGATATGGAAGGAGAGGGGTGTCACCAAGGTGCATGATGAAACTGGATATGCAAAAAGCTTATGATTCGATTGAATGGGGATTTATGGAACAGGTGATGAATGCAATGGCTTTCCCAGAACAATTTGTGAAATGGATCATGTGCTGTATGCAAAGTGTTAATTACTCTATTCTAATCAATGGATCACTTACTCAGCCATTTGAAGCCAGGAAAAGACTGAGGCAAGGGGACCCATTATCCCCCTATCTATTTGTGATTACAATGGAATACCTGACAAGGAAACTCAAGACACTGAATCAGACTCCTGACTTTAATTATCATCCCAAATGTGAGAAGCTGCAAATTGTGCAGCTTGGTTTTGCAGATGACCTTCTTCTTTTTTTGCAGGGGTGATATAGGATCTATTAAGATGCTGTACAACTGCTTTATGGAATTCTCTAAAGCTTCAGGATTGGAGATCAATAAGCAGAAGAGTTCTATCTACTTTGGAGGAGTACCTCAAGATATGCAGGAAGATATACTAGAGTTTCTGGGAATCCAAAGAGGTGAGCTGCCAGTCAGATACTTGGGAGTTCCCTTAAGTTCTAAGAGAATATCAATAGCCCAATGTCAGCCTCTAATTGACAACATTGCTGGTAGAATAACCTCATGGACAGCTAAATTTCTATCATATGCTGGAAGGGTTCAGTTGATTAAAAATGTCCTCTTCTCCATTCAAACATTCTGGGCACAAATATTTGTGCTTCCAAAGAAGATCACTAAGTTAATTGAGGCAATTTGCAGAAGTTTCTTGTGGACAGGTGAGGGTAATATATCTAGGAAGGCTTTGCTTGCATGGGAGAAGGTATGTATGCCAAAGTCAGCAGGAGGATTCAATATTATCAGTATAACATTGTGGAATAAGGCTGCTATATGTAAACAATTCTGGAACTTATGCAAAGAGAAGAATAAGCTTTGGATTCAATGGGTACACATCTATTACATCTGAGATAGGAGCATATGGGAAGTACAACTGAAACAAACATCATGGATGATGAGCAAGATTATGAAAGCAAAGAAGACATTTGAAGAAGCAGGCTTTACTTTTGAAGACATTAGGAGGATGAGCAAGTGTTCAATCAAACAAATATACCACAACTTGAGAGGAAACTTCAACAAAGTAAGCTGGAGGAGAGTTGTATGTAGAAATGTTGGATGTCCAAGGTGGACATTCACACTAACAATGGCAGCACATGGCAAGCTATATACCAAAAATAAGTTGAGTAAATGGGGAATGCAAGTTGACCAGGAGTGTGTACTGTGTACAAAAGAGCATGAAACTGTTCAACACCTATTCTTTAAGTGTTCCTATGCAGCTAAATTGTGGGGCAATCTGTTACAATGGCAAGGTATAAGGAGAGCAGTATATGGATGGACTGAGGAGTTAGCATGGGCTGAAAAATGGGTGAAGAGACAAAATGCAAACACTGAGCTGTTCAAGATGGCATTGGAAGCATGCGTATACCATGTATGGCAGGAAAGAAATGCCAGGATATTCAAAGAGAAGGCCAGAAAATGGGAGATACTGGGCAAACGGATTATACAGGAGTTACACTGTCGAAGCAACAAACAAGTAGAGAAAGCACTATGTAGATTAGACTGGTATTCAATGTAATTAGTTCAAAAGATATAGCTATAGAAAGGTAGTCAAGGGGGGAAGTAGTACAGAAAGGCTTAGGATATATGTAAAGGGTTATTGCTTTGCTTGTAAATATTTTTCCTGGTAAATGAAAATTGTTAATTACCAAAAAAAAATAGGGTATACAATTGTACGCAAAGAGTTTAATTTTTTTCAATTCAATTATTAAACTGAAATAATATCAGCTGTCAATAAAAATTTAAAAAATTCTAAAAGGACCTAATTGTAAGAGTATACCGTTACATTATATAGTATACTATAATATATATCATTGGAATGAAATGTATACCAAAATGGTACATAGTATATGATTTTGGTATACAGTAACAAATTCTTCTTCGCCAGTTCAACGGAATAAATTATACACTATTGAATAAAATAAAATATTATATAATATGTTATTTTGTATATAGAGGATTGGCTCATTCCTTCGAAAAAAATTAGTACTATATATTGTAGTTAGTTATATACTCTTGAATTAATTATTATATACCAATACAGTATACAATATACTATTTTGGTATATAGTACAAATATATCTTCTTAGCTAGTTCAACTCAATTTCAACCCAAAAGTTAAAAAGGACCAAAATTATAACTATATACCATTATATTATATTGTATACTGTAATAGTATATGTTGGAATGAATTGTATACCAAAATAGTATATTTGTAGATTATTTGGGTATACAATACAAATTCGTCTTCTTCTCTAGTTCAACTATAATTCAACCCAAATTTCTAAAATCTACTACAAAATCTTCTCCAAATTGACTTAAACATAGCTACAACCTCCAATTAACTTTTCAAACAAACCTGTTAGGATCGGATCAAAACAATTAAAAGCTCAAACAAACCTAGTTATGTGTTTCAAGCTTCAAGGTCCTTCAATGGCGGATTTAAATTTTTGTACAATAAATCTCTAAAAATCAGCATCAAAGGTACAATCTACACATCAAAGAACAATAACTAATGACAAAGTCCTGAGAATTAGAAAGACAGGCCGCACAATGTGTAATCTTTGTTTTTGTCATATATAAATTGTTAAAACCCTTATTAAACTCCTGCTCTTCCTTACTCCCTACTCCGTTGCCGCAACCGACAATCGATTTTTTACATCGTTGATTTCTTGTCTACTAAAATCTAGATATGTTGGTTTGCCTTTATCACTTCCGTAGAATGTGAGTCCTACTAAAAATGATGCGATGGTAACTCCTTTTTCAGGCAGAGACAGGTGAGCGGGTAATTAATTTTGGTGGAATAGGCATGTATGGTAATTTTTTGTAAAATAGGTAAGAACGGGTAATTATTTTGAGGCAAAATACATAGTTTACCCATTAACCTTGCACCCAAATCCCTGTTACACACCTGTCGACCACGGGCAACCTTTTACACACCCAACCTTTTAAAAGTGCGTCTAATACACACTACTTTTTGACAGATAGCATGCACGTGTCTAACAAAAAAAGTAAGCGCGTAAAACCTCTAAATTTCAGTCCAGATCCTTAATTAAATGCCATGTGTCACAATTTTTAACACATGGCACTAGTGGGTCCCATAATTCTATTCATTTCTTATTTTTCTAGAAAAATTTCTTCTTCATCTTCTTTTCATCTTCTTTTTTGTCCGATTGTTAATGAAGTGCAAGTTCTCTTTCTCCCTCATTTCTTCTGCAAAGCATGATCTGACCTCTGTGCCTTATTGTACTCATTTAAGATTTTATGGTATTTTCTGTTATGTTTTTTATTTTTCACGACGGTCGATTGAAAGGGACGGTAGCTATGGAGTTTTGGGGTTTTCAGGTGAAGCAATTTTGGAGTCTCGTTCTATGGTAATTTTTACGGATCGGTTAATTATTTTTAATTTGAAGTCTCTTTCTATGGTACTTTCTGTTGTTTTGGGCGGATTTCTTTAAATGACCTTCCGCCGAATTGTTCTTCAAAAAAGCAAGACTGGGAAATCACCTTCCAGTTTTGGCACTTCAATCTTCAAATTACCTTTGTCTGAAGGAAAATTTAATAGTGTTGGTGAACCCACTTCTTAATTTGCTTCTTATTTTCCTTCCTTAAATCATCTTCCGGCGAACTCAAATCTCTACACAGAATTAAAGCAAATTCTGAAGTTTGCCCATATTTACGACTGGGCCATATGTAGCTGGGGAATAGGGGAGAAATTTAAAAATAGCCAGATTTACAAGTGGTCATTCAAAAATAGCCACAGTTTCAAAAGTAATCGAAGTTTAGCCACTTTTCATGTAAAGATAAGTCTGAACGAAAACATTGTTCAAAATCCGAAAAATACTCCAGCATAATATAATGGAGTTCCAGTATAAGTATACTGGAACTCCAGTATATTATAATGGAGTTCCAGCATAAGTATACTGGAACTCTAGCATAATATACTGGAGTTCCGGTATAATATACCGGTTCAGCATAATATGCTGGAAGTTCATACATAGGTGCTCCAATCTCCAGTATATTATGCTGGAACTTTTCGCGTATGGAGTTCCAGCATAATATGCTGGAAGTTCATACACACGTGCACCGATCTCCAGTATATTATGCTGGACTGGTCCCTGTTATGGCAAAATAGTTGCTATTTTTCAATGACTTTGCAAATGCCGGCTATTTTTGAATGACCAGTCCGAAAACTGGCTAGCCCGTGCTATTTTTATGGGGAATAGTCTAACATGGACTTGGGCTGACCTCGGCCTGTGGCCATAACAGTTTTCAATTCTGGCGGTTTCGTATTTTTCTTTTCTGTTTTCAGGTTTATGCAGAGACACATTAGGATTTAAGCTTTGTGCGTTCAACCTTTAAGATTTTTAGCATTAAACCCATTATATTGTTAAAATTATGGGTTCAAATCTACTATTTATTATAATTTTAGAATATTTATACACTTAAATTTATGCCCCACATAAATAATACTGGCTTTAGATGAACTCGATCCTTGAGGCTATGTGCCGAGCGAGATTGTGCAAAAAGGCGGTATATCGTGAAAACTTGTTTGCTTAAATTTTTTTATTTAGTTTACGAAGTGTCTCTATTAACTCAGATATACAAATCAAATGCATATCAGCACCTACTGATTGTTGCTTTCACAAGAGTGAGATTCTTTAGTTTCTTAAGGAAAAAGGGGAAAGAAAATGTACAGAAAGGTAAATTGAGTTTCCACAGAAATAGACAAAGTCTAGTAGGGAAAACGAATGATCAGAAAACATCAAGGCTCCCTGCCATAAATCTAATAATGTATAGCTCTTGTCTTGTTTCTCAAAGAAAGTGACTTGCAATAATTTGTAATGCAGTATCTTTGCGAATATAGCTCATTGATACAAATCTACAATAAAAGTCACAAATTAAAATTAGAATTTGTATTATTCAATCATAATTAAATGATAAAAAGTTTATACAGTCAGACTTCTTTATAACATCATCCCTATGTAACAACTATTCATTATAAAAGTCAAATTTTTTTCGCAACTGATTTTTATGTTATGTTGCAACATATGTCCTCTGTAACAACACTTCATTATAACAACCAAAAAATATTGGAACAAATGAGACTGTTAGAGAGGTTTGAATATATATATATATTCATTCTTTTAATAAAATATTAGGTGCAGGAAAATTTTTCCGATTAAGATAGCCTCTAAATGAAGGGGTATCTTGGGGTAATGGTAAAGTTATTTCCATGCAATCTATAGATCACTTTGTTTGAGTTGTAAATCAGTCATTGGCGCTTGCATCACGGTGGACTACCTATTACACTTTCTTGAAGTGCAGGCCTTCCCCGAACTCTAGGGTGAATGCGAGATGTTTCGAGTAGATCTCCACTAAAAAAGACAAAGAACACCCTAAATTAAAACACATTACTTTGAGTTTACGGGCACTTATTTTAACCGAGAATGGAAAAAGTGACAAAAAGAGTGAACCGGGCTGTCCTATAATTCATAAAGGGTTTAGACATACTCCAAATTCAATGCGGCATATATAGTCATTGACAACGAATTGAGATTAGTTTTCTATTATTTGTTTGAATTATAATTACTTATGGAAGACATTATTATGTCTTTCTAATTTATAGATCTATTTAATCAGAAAATGATAGGGGAGAGGGACTTTGGAATATTAGTTTCCCAAATGATTTCTTACTTTGATGATTCATGTGTTGCAGGCTAAATACAATATGTTTCATAAAATTTCATCTTTGCAGCATGACATCTATTAAATTCTCACTTTCATTATAAAAAGGAGCCATCACCTAAGGAACGATAAAACTGATAGAATCATAATTATTGTAACGATCCGATCTGTCGATTTGAGCAAATACACTTTGCTTGGTTGTTTGAGGGCATGAGTAGCTCCGTATGAAGTATTATGACTTATGTGAATCGTCGGTTTTGGTTTTCAGGTTATTCGGAATTGATTTGGAAGAATGATTCTCAGCTAGAAGCTTTAAATTTGAAAGGTTTGACCAAGTTTTGACTTTTTAGAATTTGACCTCGGATTGGATTTCTGATGGTTCTGTTAGCTCCGTTGGGTAATTTTAGGCTTAGAAGCGCGCCCGGATTGTGATTTGGAGGTCCGTAGTAGAATTTGACTTGAAATGGCGAAAGTTGGAATTTTGGAAAGTTTGACCGGGAGTGGATTTTTTGATATCGAGGTCGGATTCCGATTTCGGAAGTTGGAGCAGGTCCATAATATCAAATGTGACTTGTGTGCAAAATTTGAGGTCAATCGGACGTGATTTGATAGGTTTCGGCATCGGTTGTGGAAGTTTGAAGTTTCAAGTTCATTAATTTCGAATTGAGGTGTGATTCGTCGTTTCGATGTTGTTATGTGTGTTTTGAGGTCTCAAGTAGGTCCGTGTTATGATATGGGACTTGTTGGTATGTTCGAACAGGGTCCCGAGGGGCTCCGGTGAGTTTCGAATAGGATTGGGTTGTGTTGTGCTCGCTTTTGATGTTTCGACGT